AGAAAAAATATTCCAACTAATTTACACAGCAATTGCACTTTAAACCGTTTCCTCCATTTAACTGAGCGACTGCGATACTTGTGAACAGTTTTTGGGTAATTTTCGCTCTCGGCCTGGCTCATCTCTATGGGCGGCTAATGAGGTGCACTTGGACGGTGGCATGATGCCATCATTTTTGGTTTTTATGCTGTGCTGCACAGTTTCGCCATTGACTGCAGCTGTCAATTCGGCGCTGATTGACTTTACGTTCAACAAAGCACGGATTCGTGTACGGCGCGCACGGGGCGTATGATTAACGCGCGCGCACGCTCTTGGTCATTTGTTTGCAGACCCGCCGTCCTCGTCCTCGTCCTCGTCTTTTGGCCCCGCAATGTGCTTCATTTAACTTGGCTGCGGTTGACGAGCACGCAATTGCGACGGACGGGGGGCGGTGGGCGGGCCAAAACAACTACCATGGCCAGGACGATGGCGTGGACTCTGCCATCCCAGACCATTACACAAAAAGTAGGCCAAGCGCGTTTGAAGTTTACAATGCGTCTGCAAGTATATATGTATGTGTGTGCGTGAGTGTGTGTGTGTGTGTGTGCAGTAGGGGGATTTGTTGCCTACGTGTGTGTGCGTGTGTGTGTATGAGAGGGGTTCTGCTATTTTTATATGTCACAACTTAAGGCTTGCTCCAGCTGCTCCAGCGGCTCCAACTGGCTGGTGCTGTGCCAGTTTTTTGTACATTTCACATTTCAGGTTTTCATATTCATTTTCATTTTCGTTTTCATTTTACTGCCGCTGGCCGCTGTTGCTTCTAACGCACTTCAAAACGCTGACCCACTAAGCATTATTAGCCGGCGCAGCGTTTTGGCCCGCTCAAGTCAAGTGTCAAAAATCGATAAATGGCGCAAAAATATAAAAAGAAAGTGTGAGCGTTATACATACATACATATAAACATGTATATATGTATTTATATATATGTTTGGCTACTGAGCTATTATAGTTTGGGGGCGTGCAAGATGAAGCCACACAGCTTGGCGTGTTGACTCCTTTGCCACTTTGTTACCTACGCCTACATTGGCTGCCACGACCACGACAACGAGCACGACCACGCCCACGCCTACGCCTAATGCCTAATGAATTTGACTTTCGACTGCCTATGCCATAGTTGTTGCTATCGCTCTAGCTGCTGTGGCAGGCTCCAGCTCCAGCCTGACTGTTGCTGTGCGGTTGCGGCTTCGCCTTGTGACCTAGCTAAGGGCGTGCAGGAGTCGACGACAACAGCGATAGCGACGGCTTTTAGCCAAATTGCGCGAGCATTGCCTGCAGTTTCAGCCACTCACACACACACATACACAGAGAGAGAACACCCAGAACAAAAAAGAAAAACAACTCAAGTTGTGAACTTGCTAACCAAAAGTCATGCCACGCAATTACTTAGCTGAGCACAGCTAGTCAGAGCCCAGCCAAGCCAAGCCAAGCCAAGCCAAGCCAACTCAAGGCAAGGCAAGGCAAGGCAACCTATGCCACGCCATCCTAGAATATTGTCGCTTACAGCGCGGCGTATGTGCGAGCCACGCCGCAGTCGGTTAAAGCCACGCACACAGCGCGTAACGGGGTTTTTTCTATTGATTTAACAAGCTGATGCAGCCAAACAAAGCACGCCAGCCACAGCAATTGCTGCCAATCTCTGGAGCTATCCATGTCCATTGCAGCACGCCTTCGTATGTGCGTGTGTGTGTGTGTGCGTTGGTGTTAATTCGATTTATAGAGCACTCGCAGCTGTTGCATATTATTAATTAATTTGTAGGGCCGGCTACGTACATACATTTTGGCCAAATATTATAATATTGCACTGGCCCACTTACTTTTGGCCACATTTTCGTTTTGTGCCCATTCACTCACTTCAAAAACACATTGCTCTGGGCCAGCATGGCGGCTGGCTCCACTACGTTTGATTTGCTCAGTTTTTGTGCACTTTATATTCCCCTCAATTGTAATTATATGCTACTTTTTTTTTTCCTTCTTTCTTTCTTTCTTTTTATCAGTTTACGCGCGCATTTTCCGGCTCGACAACACGCCCGCACGCGACTAAGCAACTTGGTCAAATGTATTGCCCGCTGGCCAGATTGCCTCTGCTATGCTATGCTATGCGGTGCTCTCCGCTCGCACGTGGCGCCTTGACAGGGTGTTTAGATGCGAATCGCGCTCTCTTTGTCTCTCTCTCGCGCGCTCTCTGCTGCGGCGCACTGCAGCGCCTGGCTCTCTCGGCTGCTCGGTCGCACGGCACTCGGCCAATATTTACATATGAAGTTGACGCGCGGCGGCAGTTGGCGGCGCCTGAAGTTGCCGCCGGATAGCATTCATTCAACTTTCCGATTGTGGGAGAGTGCGTAAGAAAGCTTTTGGACTCAGTGGCGCCGCTTATGGTGCTTTCGAAGGGGTCTTCATCCAGTTACGTTAAGGATAACGGAAACGACAATTGTTGCTGGCGAATGGCAAACACACACTTTCTGTCATTAGCGTTTGCTCTCTTCTTGCGCTTGATCAAGGCTCACTAACAAAAGCAATGGTGTAAGGGAGACAACAGCATAATTTGCATAATGGCGTTCATTGTGTATGCTTCCATCTTTGTAAATGTGCGAGCGAGATCAGCACATTTCTTAAGCTCAGCCTGTTAGCGTATACAGGAATCATAGAAAACATTTGTGTAAGCGAGACAATGAATGCTAATACTTGCTTGCACTTTGATCACTGCTGTTGTAGCGAGTAAACATGAAGATTGCAGAATGTTGACAAAATCTCATTGGCTGCATGCATGTGTGCGCTGTTAATAACACTAGTGTATGTGTGAACGAAGTAAACAGCTTTGACACTTGGTGGGAGAGTAGGAGTAAACAGGATAGATAATACGAAGAAATGTATGCTAATAAGAATAGCTGACACACATTGGCAGTTATTCTATAACCATGTGCAAATGGTTCTTAGTCCAAATACTAAAAAATATTTTTATGTGTTAAAATTTTTGCTAGTTAATATATAATAATATACATTAACTTTACAAATAATTTAGCAATCGTAATAAAAAAAAAATAAATTACATATTTAATAATCATGCTTAAATACTGTGTATTGATTTATTATTGTATATATTTAATAATTAATTTTTGAGATACATATGCCTTTATTATGGCTACATGTATGCAGGCAAGTAGACTTCATTCACTAGTTGGACAACAAGTGAGTCTCCTGGGAAGGCAGGTTAGGACAAACAACAAACTTCGTGCGCCTGCTCGGTTGTCCACGGCAACGCTCGAGCCGCACTGGCTATGACGTCCTAATAAACAGACAAACTTCCACCTGCCAAGGAGTCGTAGACGGTTGGCAGCACCTCGTAAAGACACTCGAAAGTTACGGTTCAGGTGTTAAAGAACTATGAGTCAAGACAATGTGACGTGGGCGTGAGGATAACAAATAGCGAAATAAGGTAGCAAGGCAGACGGAATAATTCGCAACTATCGTAACATAGCACCTGCCTCACCTGCCTCGGCCACCTCCTGACCGAAACGAAAAAACAGTGGGCGAAATGGGTTCAGTGGCTCAGCTATCGGCTAACCCGTCGTCGGTGTCCCACATCTCAGTGAAGTGTCGAAAACGTAGCGAGAAATCAAACTCAGTGAACCCAGTAATCGGTGAGCGAAGCGTCCCGCTTACGGGAACACCTCGTGAAAATTTGTAGTAGCTCGCATCTACTCTCCATAATACAACTGGATTAAGACATATACAGTAAATATTAGTTAGTCGTATTTTCTAAAAAAACAAAAATAAATAAATCCTGGATCGTATTGAGTAAGTAAAAAAGTCTTGAACTAGCCGGGATATTAGCTTTAGACAACCCAACAAAATGACTGAGCCGCCGGTTAACTCTGAGGAGGATTCTTATATGGAGGAGTCTTTTGATGAAGAGGTGCCCTCCGATGTGGAGGAGGAGCAGGAGTATGAGGAGGATATTGATAATGAGAGCGACACACATAGCGACACCGACGTCGAGGCTGAGTATATGCGTGGAAATGTAAGTGAAAAAACAACAGCAACAACAACAACAACACCAGCTCCGGGTGATAGCCAAGAGCTGCCGGAGCTGACCATCAAAGAGTTTAGCCTCAACAATACCAACCCACTGCCCCCACAGCCACATGCACGCCGTCAACAGTTGTATTCCAAGCGCTCTGGCGGAGGAAGCGGCTTCGCCCGCCAAACTCATGTGAAGTATGACAGCTCCTCGTCCGAGGACGACGAGCCCGTGGTTGTCACCCAGACTGTGGCCGAAGTGAACACATCGACACTGAACCCTGAGCAGACTGACGATGAATCCATATCAGTGCGCACGTTGATACCGAAGAGCGCTAAGCAGCATGAAGGGGATGAAGGGGATTCGGATGAATTGACCGAAGTTGAGGACGAAATGGAAGATGAGCTGGCTGCTGAGGACGAGATTGACTCTGAAAATGAATTCGATGGCAAGGAATTGGCTACCGAGATAGACAACGATGGGAAAGATGAAGAAGCAACGAGCCTACTAGGAGACGAGCAGGACGCGGATGAAGAGGAGGCAGAAGAAGAGGAGGATGGGAACGAACAGGATAATCAGGACTTGCGTCTCAACATGGATCTGGTTGACATCGCCGATGGCTCCGACGGCAGCGACAGTGAGATGGACTCTTCACGCAACAGCGACCCCGATCTGGATGGCATAACCAACTATAAGAAACTGAAGCGCGGTCCTCACTACCATCCGAATTTGCCGAGGAAGCCGATTGTTGATACCGATGCACCGGTATTTCCCAAGCTGGAGAGCATCTACGATGATAATGGCGAGGAGGTCTACAAGCTGGAAGACGATGTGCCTGTACCGGGCGAACCGCTCAATGTCAAGTATCTGGAACAGCAAATGACTGAAATGTCGGAGATGATCATGAAGACATTTCGCCTGAGCGGCGGCTCGGCTGACAACAGTGCATTGGAGCAACTGGCATTGGCCACCAAGTTGATGAAGAAGCACGGCAAACCAAAGTCATTGCCAGAGGATGAAGAGCCGCAATCCCTGGACTCCTCCAAGTCTACACCGACCACAATGCGCACAGAACAGCAAATCGGACGCCGCAGCTGCCGCTGCCCCTCGAGCACCGATGTCAACCAGCCCGGAGGCGGGAACAAGCTACTGATGGACGAATGTGGCCAGGGCGATGGCCTGTTGCGCTATCCACACATGAAGCAGACACAGTCGGCTCGCATGCTCAGCTCAACGCCCAGCTGCCTGCGCAGCGAGACCAGTAGCTTCCACGTGGATGTGCGACGTCCACGCTCAGTCGCCTCCTCCGAGGTCAAGTAAGTGCAGAGCGAACTAGCCCTACATTACGCCTTAAAACTCATATCTGCTTTGCAGCTATAAGAATCTGGGACGCAAGAGCTTCAGCTTCACCAATCCGCAGGTGCGTGAGATCGAGCGCCAGAATAACATTTTATTGAAGAAAATGATGAACGTGAAGCCGACAATAAAGCCAACTGTCAATATGGTCAAGTCCAATACCAATCTCCAAGCTAAGGTAAGCTTATAAAAAGGGACATATATGAATCGATCTATATAATGCCCCCTCTCTAAAGAATCAAGGACCGCCTGTAGCACGCCGCACTACCGCCGCCGTCAACCGCAAGAAGTACCAAAGGCAGATTGACTTGGACAATGATGTGCTGAAGCGCAAGCTGGAAGCCGTGGGATCGCGCCGACCCATATTCAAGTGAGCTATCAGCCAGTTGTTGATTTTGCATTGATATCCAAAATATTATAATTTTAGAAATGTTTAAAGCGAATTTACCAAATTAAAATTTTATGCAAGTTAATGAGTATTGTGCAAATATGTATATTAATATCTAGGTGTGAATGAGTATCAAAGGTCGTTATAAATTTCTAATGTGAATGTATACAAATATAGCCGGAATTTAATATAAAACTTTGGAAATAAAATGTGTAGTATATGTTAGTAATATAGCCTAATTTATCTTCAATTGAAGGGCTCACAGGGTCACCTCATTGATCTTCGACAGGAAGGTTTCGCCCAGCGCTTTGACAGCCTTGAAGGCAGTTTCTCCATTTTGCTCCTTGAACTCGGCCTCGTTCTTCAGTTTCGTCTGCTCGCGCTGCTCTATTTCCCTATAAATGACTTGACCGATCTGAAAGGATTTGGGTATTGATATAGTATAGCGAGTTTCTTAGGATTCTCTTTAGAATACTCACATAGACATCTATGGCCGCATACATCAGTTGATTCTCGTCCAGCGGAATTACATGCCATTTGCTCATGCGCACCTTTTTGCTCTTGTCCATTGCCTTCTTGGCTATGAAATTGGCCAATCTCTCCAGGCTCCATCTGCCGCCCGTCTCGCACACCTCATTGCACCACACGCCCAAATCGACGCACTTCTCGATCAGCGGCTCAGCCGCTACCTCAGGAAAATCGCGTGCCAATTTGCGAAAATCGCTAGAAGTTTGAATATAAATTTTATATATATTAGTGAACAGACTATATTGGGTTTAGTTAAATATGCATAGAGTAATCTAGCCCAAGTCTCACCTGCATCACGTTCATTCTAACTACTAGTCGGTTACTCCCTTATTTTGTTCTTTATCTACCCCACACTTACGCCTTTATATTCACGCCATGCAGCCGCACTTTGGGATGATTTATGAGTGCGACCAGCGCAGCTGGAATCTTCTTTAGCTTGCTTAGCTGATACACATAGCAGCAGCGCTCATCAACGCAAATTTGTATGACGGATGACTTGCCGGGTCCGGTTTGAAAGGAGAAGGGCCACTCCATGTCAAAGGCCATGGGCACAATTTCAGTGTGAGTTTGCTGATCGACCCACTGCCTGAGAAATCAAAATATCAATCAATACATATAGAAAAACATATTGTCTAGTTAAATGTCGACACTTACATGACCTCATCTGCCGAAGCAGCAATCTCTTGGCTTTCCGTGAAATATTTGATGGCACCACGATACTTTATGAACGGCAACTTCTCCGGGATTTCCTTCTCCGGCGAGGGCGTTCCAGCATCTGCCATGGAGCGTGTGCTACGCGTCACTCGAGTGCTGCGGCGCTTGGGGGGATTCTCTACCTCGGCGTTTTCTTTGTCTTTAACCTACATTGGGATACCGCAGTTATATTAGCTGAATCTGAAGTCAACCGTTTGCTTACTATTTCGGGCGTATCCAAATTCTTTCGTTTATTAGCAATTGCACTTTGTTCCTTGACGACTTTCTTTGGCTTCGGCTTTTCCTCCTTAACAGATATTTTCTTCAACGAAAGAAAACTTATTAGTAAATGCTACTATTATTTTTAATTTCGAATACATACTTCTTCTGACACCACATTTTTTGTTGATTTTATTGGCATTTTAATTAAATATTTATCCATGCCCTCTCTGATAAGTTTGTTTACAATAAATTGCCGCCAAAATAATTTACAGTGTTGAAAAGTATTCACAATAATTATTTAGCTTGTTTTCCACTAAATATTTTGCAGTTGCCATAGCGATAGTTGAATATCGCTTGATGAGCAGCAAGAAGTTCTAATTAGTCATGAACCTAGTCTTTTATTTATATTTAAGAGGCACGCATTCTGTTATCATTTTTAATAATAAGAAAATAGTTTTTACTATGATGTACAATTTGATTTAAAACACCTTAATCGTTAAATAATCGAAAATTCATAGCATATGACTATCGAGGGTATCGCATTTTAACATCTGTTATGCTCATTTTGGAGCTGTTCAATAACAGCGCGGCTAAATGTTAAGGTTATATATATATAGATGCCAAAATCATATGTTTCGTCCCATTAACCGGCATAAATTTATTTATTTGCCATTAATAAACTTAAATTAATCATACTGTCAAAATGTCTATGACGGTAAGCGCCAATTATGTATCAGAGAAGATATCTCAAATCCGTTGGCTGCCAGAGAAGCTGACGCAGAGCGAACGCTTTGTGACTGGCACATGGGACATGGATACAAATTTTGTGCGCGTCTGGCGCTTCCATGAGAATACATATGCAGATAGTGTGGAGCACACACCACGATGCAACGACAAGGTGGCCATGGAGGCCGATGTCACAGGCATAGAGTTTGTCAATGATGATACTTTTGTAGTGGGCTGTGGCGATGGTAAGGGAAAGCAACTATAAAGATATTCTCTTGTATATACGAATGTATAATTTTTTGCTGCCTGCAGGTCGTGTTAGCTTATTTAAAGTGCACAGAGCCGTCGAGGAAGATCAAATCCGACGAACAGAGCACAGCGAACGTATACACGCTTTCAAATATAGTCCAGCAAATGCTCCCTGCACGGCAATTTCGATATACGGCACGGACATCGCGACCGTGGGCGAGGATGGACGCCTCAACGTGCTGAGTGCCAACGATTTGAAGCAGGTGAAGCGCACCATTGAGGCGGACAGCATGAGCTTACTGGCCGTCTCCTTCGTCAACCAGAATCAGGTTGTGACGTCCAATCGAATGGGCGTCATTCGCTTGTTCGATGTGCGAAGCGCGGGCGATGGGCAACCACAATACTCATTTATGGCCGCCAGCCAGGATGAGAAAAGCTCGAACTTTGTCTCGTCCATAGTCACGCATCCCATGCAACAGCACGTACTCATTTGCGGCACTGAGGAGGGCTCACTTACAGTCTGGGATCTGCGGCAACTGGAATATCCAGCTTCCTACTTGAGTACCCATAAGTCGGCCATTACGGCCATTGGATTTCATCGTCAAGATCCCTCTAAGCTGTTCACTGCAGCGGAGGAAGGTGCAGTGTGGATGTGGTCGGACAAGAAGCTTATCGATGCCAGCCAGACTGATAGCAGCAGTGCCTGGCTAGCCGGCGACCGATTGACCTCCCTGATCAATGTCGATGGCATCCTGACCAACATACGCAAAGCGGTCAATTCATTCGATGTCCATGGCTCCAGAATGATCTGTGGCACCGACTCAGAAACCGTTTATCTTATCTACGATGTTTAAGGATGCCCCGATTTCTATTCCAGTTCAAATACACTTTTACTATTTTTTATTAAAATTTTTGTTTGCTATAAGTTAAGATAATTCTAAGTTTGTTTTGGCTGAGTGGAATCGAATTAATTTCCCAGACACATTCAGTGATAGCTGATGACTCATGGCTAATGGCTAATGATTTATGGCCGATAAACAACGTAAAAACTGATAGTTGATGGCTGATGGCGGCTGTCAGATATCCTGATGTGTAATGTCTGATGCTAATGTCAGATGTTTAATGCCAGATATATGATGAATGATGTCTGATGGCTAATGCCTAATAACTGATAGTTAATGGCTAATGTCAGATATATGATATCTGATATCTAATGTCTGATGTCTGATGTCTTATGCCTAATAACTGATAGTTGATGGCTAATGTCAGATGTTTTATGTCAGATATATCTTGTATGATGTCTGATGCCTGTTAACTGATGATTGATGGCTGATGATAATGACTGCTAATGACTGAAGAACTAATTTCAATGAACTGATATTTGATAATTCATAACAGATGATTGATAACCCCTTTTACTGTGGGTACGTATTGATTCGGATATCTGTATTCACCAGCTTCAATATTAATTGAAACCAATAATAATAATACAACAGAATATTTTACTGGTATTATTCACTTCCTATTCTATTTCAAAAGCATAAAGTCCATCACATCCGTTGACCATTTTTGAGCTTCGCTTGAATTTGAAAGTCCCCAGCTTGATAAGTCCCATTTTCAACTGCATTCTGATGCGAATCGACGGGCATATACAGTCCATACTATTTTTGACAAATAAAATTATAACTAAATTGTATTTTTTAAATATATTTTATGCATTTTAATTTCAGTATTCGCAAAATTGGCTTAAATCAAAGCACCTGTCTTACATAATATATGGCTAAGAATACAGCTACAATTAGATATACAATGTCTTAAATATATTATATATATATATATTTATCTGGGTGCTGTGTGGGAACTACATAAGCGTAGTCAAGAATATGAAGCGACAAAATACCGATGCCATATGAAAATTTGAAAAGACTTAAAATTTAAATTTAAAATCATTAAATTATAAAATTAAGCAAAGTTCCATAAAAAAATAACAAAAACAGGGTATAAAAAACATAAACATAATAAATAATTAATAAGGAATTTCCTTTCAAATAATAGAAAATATTCGTTAGTTTTGAACAGACTTTTGTGGATTTATAGTTCATATTCATTGTTTCATTGCCTAGGTTTGTGTCTGACTTAAGGTAATATACTAAACGTTGGCTAATTTTGGATAGATTTATGCGTGTTTTTCAACTACCATATACATACACATACATATGCGTTATTCTAAGCTAATCCATCGATACATTGACATTAATATATATGTATGTATATGTATGTGTTTCTAAGCTAAGTGAATAATAAATACAAAATTATTTCTGGTTCCTTTTAGATATTTACACTTATGCGATTAGGCCTCGATTAGTTTTTTTCGTTTTATAATATCTGTTTTTAAATTTCAATTAAACTTTGAGCATTTACGATTGGTAACATCTCAGGGATCCAGTGGGAACTGTATCATCATCGAGTCATTCCCAACTCTAATAGAATCGCTCGAATTTGGGCGGCTTGTTGAGTGCGCAGAAATAATACCCTGAATAGTTTTGTGTGGGTGGAGTATAGTCGCCGATGCCGTAATTCCCATATTCATAGTTCGCCAAATGTGCGTGGGCGTGGTGATGCATATGTGTGTGCGGATGCGGATGCGGATGTGCGTGTGCATGTGTGTGAGAGTGCGTGTGCGTGTGCGTGTGCGGGGGGTGATAATGCTGAAAACCGCCTGCACTGCGCGGCTTTTGTCATGTGAGGAGAGCACCGCCAATGCCGGCAGAGCCACCGTTGCCACCATTGCCACCGCCGCTGCCATTCGAGTTGTTGCCGTGAACGCGCATGTGCCGATTCAGGTTGCCCGATTGCGAGAATCTAGACAAAGTTGGGGGTTACGTTTAGTTGGGAGTGATTCCAGCTGGGCGGCTTCCAGTGCAGCCGGGCAACACTCACCTGAGCAAACACAATTTGCATTGGTAGGGCTTCTCGCCGCTGTGGATGCGCAGATGCTTGGTCAGCGTGGAGCTGTCCGAGAACGACTTCTTGCAGGAGGAGCAGCGATAGGGCCGCTCGCCGGAATGGGTCCGCATGTGCGTGGTTACGCTGGAACTTTGCGAGAAACGTCTATCACAAATGGGACAGCGGAACGGCTTCTGTCCGGTGTGTGTGCGTACGTGGGCCGTCAGATTGGCGGCCTGTGAGAAGCTCTTGTTGCAGTCCGGACACCGGTACGGCCGTTCGCCGGAATGGGTGCGCAAGTGCGTCTTCAATGTGCTCGGCCTCGCATACGTCTTACCGCACAGCCGGCATAGATTCGGCTTCATATCACCGCCGGCACTGCCCTCGCCATCGGCATCGCCATCCTCGATGCTCTCCTCCTCGTCCTCGAAGGCGGACAGCCCGAGACTGAGCGCTGCTGCCTGATAGCTGGGACTCTTGTGTGGCGGCGTATAGCTCTGCCCGCCACCCGTCGCATAGTAGCCCAGCGTGGCGGCCGTGCTGGTGGCGGGCGGCGAGGGCGTCGACTCCTTGTCGGCCAGCGTGGGCAGAGCGCTGAGCGCGCTCGGCGGCGGAGCGCGAAAGTCGGCCGTGAAGGAGTAGGTGGCCGAGGCCGGATAGTGCGTGGGACTCAGTAGCGGCGGATAGAGCACATTGACCGCCGCCGAGGAGCTGTTCGGCGGGGTCCAATTCATCTGGGAGCACGGCATGGGCACCGCACCCGCATCGGCGCCGTAGCCATGATGCATGGTCATGTTCATGCTCACATTGACACTCATGCTGGGATACATGGGCGGGGCACTGGTGGCATTGGTGGCCGCCTCGTAGTAGCAGCCGCTGCCCGATCCCGCGCCACTCCCGCCGACGAGCGGCCCGTTCCCAATGCCGGTGCTGTGGCCGTGGAGCGCGTTACCACCGTGCGATGCCTGCTGCAAATGCTGCGCCTGCAGCTGATGGGAATGTGTGGACGACTGTGTGTGCGGCTGCGGCTGCTGCTGCTGCTGCTGGTTCTGTTGCTGGTGCTGGTGCTGGTACTGCTGCTGATGGTGGTGCTGACTGCCTGTGGGTGAGATCAGCATCTGGTGCGGATGCACGGTGTAGGAGAGCGAGGCCTGGTGCGGATTGCTGGCGAAATTGTAGGAGGCGCCGCAGGGCGAGAACGGAAAGAGGCTGGGCAGCGGATCGATGTCTAGCGGCGGTAGGCCCGGAAACGTGGATGCCATCTCGTCGGTGCTCCAGTAGCTGCCGTTGCCAGTCAGCGAGGCGACGCTGTTGCTGTTGTTGTTGTTGCTGCTGCTGCTGTTGTTATTGTTGTTGTTGTTGCTGCTGCTGCTGGCCGGCGGCGTGGTATTGATCTGGCTGCTCAGCACACCAATGGTCGGATCGAAGCAGCCGCCGCAGTCGAAGTCGCTGCTGGTCAGCGAGGAGATGGGCAGGGCGGTGTTGCCTTGGCAGGATAAGCAGCCGACGCAGGATGCAGCGCACTCTTGCTGCAGTGCACGCAAAGATAACGATGCCGCGCAGGAGGAGAGAAATAAAAAATGAAAATGAAATGAAAATCAACAAAACCTCTTCAAGCACCGGTGGCAAGTGGCAAGTGAATCGATTGCGAAGCGCGAAGCGCAATGTACCTGCGGACTGTCCAGCGCCAGGCCGAATAATGGATTATTGGGCACATAGCCCGTTTCTGGTTCCACAGGACCTCCGTTTGAGACATCGCACGATATGTACATAGCTCCACCCTCTTGATCTTCCAGGGAATCTGCGCAGGAGAGCGAATCATTTAGCATCATTGGAAAAACGCCAGCAAGCAATGCCCATGCATTTCACACAGTTCACAGCCAGCTGCGGCCCACTGTGCGCCGCATTAAACTCCGCCCCTAAACACATTCAAGCAAAGAAACACACACATACACACACAGAACAGGCGCGAGCAAATAAGCGCACGCGACGCCATTTGCTTTGCCTATGCTCTTGGCTCTCTCTCTCTCTCTCTCTCTCGCTCTCGCTCTCTTTGTCCCTCTCTTGCACTCCTCTATCCTCGCTGGCTTTGCACAACTCCCGTATTTGGATTTTGGAAACTCACCCAGAATTATGTTCAAGAGTTTGGAACCTTTAAATAACAATCCCATGACATGACTCCAGCTGATTTTTGCGTTTTATTTCTCGTTTTTCTACGTTTCATTTTGTCGCATCAATTGCCATTTCCAGCTGCAAAAGTTGAAGTGTTTAACTTATTTATTTTGATATGTGAGGTCATTTATAATTATAATTTGTATGTATATATCATTAAAAAAATATAAATAATTATAAATATAAATTGATGTTTCAAATGCCACACATTAAAATGAAGATTAAGACAATTGAAATTTTATCAATTTTTTCTTCAGATTTGTTTTCCCAAAAGTTCTCTTTTGGTATTTATATAAAAGGACTACTGTTTCCGTGCAAGCTATTTACAATATGTTGTTTTTTTTTTTTTTTTGTCATTTGTTGTTTTAGTTTTTTTTTTAGAAATAAATTTGGCAGTAAGCTTAATATATTTTCAATTCAATTTTTAAAAAAATCCTTTAGGTAGGCTGCTTAAATACTAAAAACGTAAATCTTCTGTGAGTTCTAAGCCCAACAAACTTTTATAAGCATACATATAAACTATATACTATGCAGATATTTGTTTATATTATAATTTTATTTTAAAATAAATAAATAAAAATAAATAATAAATAAATAACTTTGAGTTTTAGAATGTAAACCAATTGAGTATTCCTTAAATTTTAATACAAATAAAATCATTTAAAAATAAATCAGATAAGCTAAAAGCGAAAATCAAATATTCCTTTCTGTAGATTTATATTATGGAAATAAAATAAAAATGTACAAAAACATTAAACGCTGAATTTCCATTTCCAATGAATTTAGGATCA